TCTTTAATGTAATTACTTTTATTACCTAATAAAGTTTCTACTTTGGCATAACAAAAAAAAAAAAAAAAAAAAAAAAAAAAACAAATACCAATGTAAATTATCTAAATAGGCAAAAACTTTTAAATAAAAAATATTACTAATTAGGTTGTTGGAATTCTAATTAAGAGAACTAAAAAAAAAAAATATTAGAACAACCTAATGTATTAATGAACTGGTCATAATTCTACCAGGCTATCTGAATTGAAAATTCAAAGAAAAGACAAAAATATACTAAAAGTATTAGAAATATGTTATAAAATAAGTGCTGAGGTCTAGATGAACTTTGCAAAAGCAAGTTTTATTAATGATCTTAAAGTAGATAGGTTAGTTAACAAGAAAGTTTTCTAAGTTTTATAGTTAAGTATTGTGCTCTGAAATTGGATAATACTTGACAGATATACAAAAAAGAAGGCATAATATTGGGTTAGATGATACTTAGATGTATAAGAACTAAGATAACTAATTATCTGAGTGCAATATAAGGACCAGAGTATTTAATTAGATAGTCTCTTAGTAGATTAAAGATATAACAACTAGTGTAGAACCTTTGGACAGACTACTTAAATAGGTAACCAAAAGTTACACATGTAACTAGTTGTACACTTACTCTGTACAAGTAATATATAATATATTAACTAAAAACACAAATAAAGATATTAGTTGCTATTAACATTGATCTTAATAAATAAATAAATAAATAAAAAAGATTACAATTTTGGATGATCATATGGTAAGCTGCATTTTTTAAACCTGATTTACTCACAATTGTTTATATGTAAAAATGGATCCTTTTTAAAAAAAACACTTCATATATTATAAAAATCATAATAATAAATTCAAATTCTTGATGATAACATTCTGATTGGTTGAGCATTATATGATTATTATATAATATCTAATTTTTAAATAAACCTATTTCAATGAATTTTAGAATTATAAAAATCTGCTTTAAGTAAAAATATTTTTAAATACCAAAATAAAAAAATTACAATTAAAGTCATATAACAAGTGATTTATAAGTAACCTTTAAACAAGACCAGCACATTCTAATTAATATTGATTTTTAATGCTTTGTATTTAATCTTTAATAATTTAGTAATTGTATTTATTTTATGATTTATATTGTTTACAAGATTTTGCTATGTTCTAATTCCCTTTAAATTTGTAGGTTTTTCTGTCCGATAACTTCACTATAACGAGAGTAAAATGTGAATATTAATTCCTTTTTTGTAACAACCAATAGTATAGATAAACAGTAATATCCAATAAAATCAGTTGCTGATAAACAGAGTCACAAATCAAGTTAATAGGCCGATTAAGTCAGCAGGCATAAATATACATCTTTCTCTAGTCCTCTTAGACTGTCCTAATGTCTGATTACGGCGAATCTTCGTCATTCCAACCTCAAGGAGGTTATGTCTACCCTGATCAACAACAGCCACAATCACAGCAACAGCAACCATTTGCTTATCAGTATTATCAATTTAATAATGTTCCAAATCAGTATAGTGGTCAAAATCAATATGGCAACACTTCACAACAAGTCGAAAATACAACTGAAAAACTCGAAGAAAAAGCCAGAAAATGGCAACAAATGCAAACGAAACGATATGGTGAAAAAAGAAAATTTGGTTTCATTGAGCACGAAAAAGTTGATATGCCACCAGAGCATATTAGAAAGATTATCAAAGATCACGGTGATATGTCCAGTAAAAAATATCGTCATGATAAAAGAATTTATCTTGGCGCTTTGAAATATGTCCCTCACGCTGTATTAAAACTATTGGAAAATATGCCAATGCCTTGGGAACAGGTATTAACTATTTTCTTAAACCTTTTATTTTTATCAAAATTTATCCCTATTATTAATTGGTATCTTTATTTTTTAGGTTCGTGAAGTACCTGTTTTATATCATATTACAGGTGCAATCACATTTGTAAATGAGATTCCGTGGGTTATTGAGCCTGTCTATATAGCTCAATGGGGTACTATGTGGATTATGATGCGTAGGGAAAAGCGTGATAGACGACATTTCAAGCGCATGCGCTTTCCACCATTTGATGATGAGGAACCGCCACTAGATTATGGTGATAATATCCTAGATGTTGAACCATTAGAAGCAATTCAAATGGAATTAGAAGAAGATGAAGATGCTGCTGTCTATGAATGGTTTTATGATCACAAACCATTAGTGGACACAAAATTTGTGAATGGATCAACGTATAGACGTTGGAAGTTGAATTTACCAATAATGTCAACTTTATACCGTTTGGCACATCAACTACTATCTGACCTCACAGATTCAAACTATTTTTATCTATTCGATCTAAAGTCATTTTTTACTGCTAAAGCTCTAAATATGGCAATCCCTGGAGGGAGCAAGTTCGAACCGCTTTATAGAGGTATGTCATAATTAATTAATTAATTAATTTTTTTCGCATCATATTTAAGTAGGAATCAATGTAGAAGTATTATGTAAATATTAAATTAAAAATTTGTCATAAATTAGATATGGACACAGCTGATGATGATTGGAACGAATTTAACGACATAAATAAAATTATAATACGACAACCTATTCGTACTGAATACAAAATTGCATTTCCTTTTCTGTACAATTCTCTTCCACGATCTGTTCATGTGTCATGGTATCATGAACCTACAGTAGTTTATATCCGTTCGGAGGATCCGGACTTACCAGCGTTTTATTTTGATCCTATTATTAATCCTATTTCGTCACGTAATCTTACTCCACAAAACTTGGTAGTATCTCATGAAGATGAAATTTTCGGTGATAAAGAGGAAGATGATGAATTTATACTTCCAGAGAAAATCTCTCCATTTTTAGAGAGCACACCACTTTATACGGATACTACTGCTGATGGGATTGCTTTGTGGTGGGCTCCGCATCCATTCAATAAACGTAGTGGACGAATGCGGAGAGCAGAAGATATACCCTTAGTGAAGAATTGGTATCTTGAACATTGCCCGCCGGGACAACCTGTTAAAGTTCGAGTATCATATCAAAAGCTTATAAAATGTTATGTGCTAAATGCACTAAAACATAGACCACCAAAAGCTTTAAATAAGAAATATTTGTTCCGCCAGCTGAAATCCACAAAATTCTTCCAAACAACTGAACTAGACTGGGTTGAAGCCGGATTGCAAGTCTGTCGTCAAGGCTACAACATGCTCAATCTCTTAATTCATCGGAAGAATCTCAATTACTTACATCTTGATTACAATTTCAAGTTAGTATTGTTTTTTGTATTTGTTTATTTATTTTTATTCATTTATTTATTTATTTAACTCATAATTCTAATACAAAAAAAAATGTATTTTAGCTTGAAACCTGTGAAAACTCTTACTACGAAAGAACGTAAAAAGTCTCGATTCGGAAATGCATTCCATTTATGTATGTTGAATGTTTTATTAATCAGTATAATAATTAACTTCATATAATTTTAAGTATAGTTTAACGTGTTCAAAAAATTGTCAATTTAAAATTTTTCAGGTCGTGAAATTCTACGTTTAACAAAATTGGTTGTCGATTCGCATGTACAATATCGTTTGGGCAATGTTGACGCATTCCAGTTAGGTATGTCAAGAACTTTTCTGATATTATCATTTTGAATTTGAACATTTAGTTTTGTATTATACACTTTCGATATTAACTTTTGTCGAATGTTACACAGCTGATGGTCTTCAATACATCTTCTCGCATGTTGGTCAACTAACGGGAATGTATAGATATAAATATCGTTTAATGAGACAGATTCGAATGTGCTTCAGTGCTACGCAGAAAATCATGTTATCAGATGGTAGTTTTAAACGAGCCAAAAACATTGTCATCGGGGACAAAATAATGGGCGATGATGGAGAATCGCGAAAGGTTATTTCACTTACTTCTGGTCGCAGCATTATGTACCGAGTTACTTGCGACTATGAAAATTCGTCCGATAACTTATGGGAAGAGGATGGATTTATTTGCAATGGTGCTCACCTTCTTGTAATTAAGTCACGATATTATCCGCGTACCGAACTGAAATCGACACAACAAACATTTAATGTTCACTATATGGAATTCAATGTTTTTGACGAAGAACTCGGATTTAACATTCCGAAATTAAAAGTTGCTAACTTTTCATGGAACAAAAACGTATATAGATCTTGTGCTACTGCAAAGGCCGCGGCGAGTGCATTTTATAGTAAATTGTTGAATAAAGGATATAGGGGACGCATTTGCCTCCATCCTGCTGCTAAACGCTGGGTTATTAGACTCACGTACAAACCATCTAAAGTTAAGGAAATGGATATTAGCGCATTGAGTTTTTATTGGAAGTCACATACGAATAGAGAGAGAATAGTTACTCAACAGGAAGCTGAAAAACAAGCTTCAATGTTTGCTGCAGAACAATTAAAAAACAATAATAATTATATTTGGGAAATTTCCGTTATAGACTTTCTTCGTTTTAAGGAAAAATATCCTGATAGTACGCAATATCTTGGAATGTACAGGTGTTGTGTGCCAAGGTTCCCAGATCAAAGTGCTCTTGATATAAACATTCTAATTAGAGAAGCTTACGAGGAAGTTGGTGTTAATGATAACTACATCACTAAAAGTGAATTTGGTTGGTTATTGTCTTTATGGCTTGGCGATGGTTTAGAAGATTATCCAGCATTTTATTGTGATGCGAAAAAATATCCTACCATAGTAACTAAATTAAAAACTATTGCTGAAAAATTACGATTACAACTTGTTATAACACGTGATAATAACCAAGTGGGAGAATATTGGAATATATTATTTTCCACATCACCTAAAAGTACTTTTAGTTCAATACAGTGTTGTGATGAATTTGGAAGTATTATTGTGGACAAAGATGTGTGGACATTTGAATCTAACAAAAATGATAGAAATATTATGAGTATTCTTTTAAAACGGTTGGGTGTATTTCAAAATAAGAAATTGTTTGATGAAGAATTAGTTGGAAAACTAACGAATCAGTCCCAAGAGTTTCGTCTAAATCTCTTGGCTGGATTTATCGATTCTGATGGCTATATGGCTTACAATAAACGAAATTGCTACTACGTGTTTGTACAACAAGTTAATACCCATGCTCATATTGCCAGATTTTGTCGTCATGTTGCACGTTCACTAGGAATTAGTGCTATTGGATATTCTTATCATAATAAGCAATTGTTCCAAAACGATACAATCACAAATTCAGTTCGAATTAATATCAGTGGACCGAAGATATTGGAAATTCCAGTTACTGTCAGCTATAAACGTATTACCGAAGGCTACTTATCAACGTCATTTGATGACCCAAACGGTTTAATAAAATTTAAAGTTGATCCCCTTCATGAGGACGAATATTATGGGTTTGAGGTTACTGGAAATAACGAACGAATTTTGTTGGATGATTTTATGGTCTCCCATAATTGTAAAGATTTGAAGCATCTTATATACTATCGATTTAATACCGGTCCGGTTGGAAAAGGGCCTGGTTGTGGATTTTGGGCACCTGGATGGCGAGTTTGGTTATTCTTCATGAGAGGCATAGTCCCACTTTTAGAACGCTGGCTTGGGAATTTATTGGCTCGTCACTTTGAAGGTCGTCATTCTAAGGGAATTGCAAAGACTGTAACAAAGCAGCGTGTAGAATCTCATTATGATCTTGAACTTCGTGCTGCGGTCATGCATGATATTCTAGATATGATGCCTGAAGGTATCAAAGCAAATAAATCAAAGACTATATTGCAACATTTGAGTGAAGCTTGGAGATGTTGGAAAGCAAACGTCCCATGGCACATAATGGGAATGCCAAAACCTATTGAGAACATGATTTTAAGATATGTTAAAAGCAAAGCAGATTGGTGGACTAGTGTAGCACATTATAACCGTGAAAGAATTAGAAGGGGTGCAACTGTTGATAAAACGGTAAATTATAGCTTATCTTATTAATTTTTAAATTTTGTTTATTTAATCATTAACGCTGCTTTTTGTTCTCATTATTAGGTTTGTAAAAAAAATCTCGGTCGTTTGACGCGTTTGTGGTTAAAAGCTGAACAAGAACGTCAACATAATTATCTTAAAGATGGTCCTTATATTACTGCAGAGGAAGCAGTAGCTATATATACGTCTACTGTCCATTGGTTGGAAAGTCGTAAATTTTCACCAATTCCCTTCCCACCTCTTTCCTACAAACATGACACTAAATTGTTAATATTGGCTCTTGAAAGGTTGAAAGAGGCGTATAGTGTTAAAGGACGTCTTAATCAAAGTCAAAGAGAAGAATTAGGATTGATTGAACAAGCATATGATAATCCACATGAGGCGCTAAGTCGTATTAAACGTTTATTGCTGACACAGAGAGCCTTTAAAGAAGTCGGAATTGAATTTATGGATCTTTATAGTCATTTGATTCCAGTCTTTGATGTCGAGCCACTCGAAAAAATCACAGATGCTTACCTTGACCAATATCTTTGGTATGAAGGTACAAAAAGGAATCTATTCCCAGCATGGGTTAAACCATCAGATACTGAGCCTCCGCCATTACTTGTTTACAAATTTTGCCAAGGGATTAACAATTTGACAGATGTCTGGGAAACATCAGAAGGAGAGATTAACGTAATGTTGGAAACACAATTTAGTAAAGTTTACGAAAAGATTGATTTAACTTTATTGAATAGACTTTTAAGATTAATCTTGGATCATAATCTTGCTGACTATATGACCGCAAAGAATAACGTGGTACTTAACTATAAGGACATGAATCATGTAAATGCATATGGTCTTATTCGCGGATTACAATTTGCTAGTTTTATATTCCAATATTATGGGCTTATTCTGGATTTGTTAGTTATTGGACTTCAAAGAGCTTCAGAAATTGCTGGTCCTCCTCAGATGCCAAATGACTTCTTACAGTTTCGAGACGTTGCTACAGAGACTCGACATCCTATTAGATTATATTGTCGATACATAGACAAAATTCACATTTTCTTCCGCTTTAATGCAGACGAGGCTAGAGATCTAATTCAACGTTATTTGACAGAACATCCAGATCCTAATTCAGAAAATATTGTCGGTTACAACAATAAGAAATGCTGGCCTCGAGATTGCCGCATGAGATTATTTAAGAGTGATGTTAACGCTGGAAGGGCTGTATTCTGGGATATAAAAAATAGATTGCCTCGTTCGCTTACTACAATAGAATGGGACGATACTTTTTGCAGTGTTTATTCCAAAGACAATCCAAATGTTTTATTCTCTATGTGCGGTTTTGAAGTTCGAATTCTTCCGAAGATCCGAAACCTTAATGAGGAATTTACACTTAAAGATGGGGTTTGGAACCTAATCAATGAACAAACAAAAGAACGAACGGCACAGGCCTTCCTTCGCGTTGATGAAGAATCAATGCAAAAATTCCACAATCGTGTTCGTCAAATATTAATGGCTAGCGGATCAACAACATTCAGCAAGATTTCAAATAAATGGAATACTTGTCTTATTGGATTGATGTCCTATTTTAGAGAAGCCGTTGTACATACACGTGAATTATTGGACATAATTGTGAAAGCGGAAAATAAAATTCAAACAAGAATTAAGATTGGGCTTAACTCAAAAATGCCTTCTAGATTTCCACCAGTTGTATTTTATTGTCCAAAAGAATTAGGAGGACTTGGAATGTTATCTATGGGACACGTCCTCATACCGCAAAGTGATCTTCGATGGAGTCAACAAACAGAGACTGGAATAACTCATTTCAGATCAGGAATGAGTCATGAAGAAGATCAGTTAATACCCAATCTTTTCAGATATCTTCAACCTTGGGAATCAGAATTTATTGACTCTCAACGTGTGTGGGCTGAATATGCACTTAAACGTCAAGAAGCTAATGCTCAGAATAGGAGATTGACTCTTGAAGATCTTGAAGATTCTTGGGATCGTGGACTGCCAAGGATAAATACTTTGTTTTCCAAAGACCGACATACCCTAGCATATGATAAAGGGTGGCGCGTCAGAACAGATTTCAAGCAATATCAAGTATTAAAGAATAATCCTTTCTGGTGGACACATTCTAGACATGATGGAAAATTGTGGTGTCTCAATAATTATCGATCAGATATGATTCAAGCTTTGGGAGGAGTAGAAGGAATCTTAGAACATACACTCTTTAAAGGAACTTACTTTGTCACATGGGAAGGTTTGTTTTGGGAAAAAGCATCAGGTTTCGAAGAAAGTATGAGATATAAAAAATTGACGAATGCTCAGCGCTCTGGTCTAAATCAAATCCCTAATCGTCGATTTACATTATGGTGGTCACCGACAATTAATCGAGCGAACGTATACGTTGGTTTTCAAGTTCAACTCGATCTTACGGGTATCTTTATGCATGGAAAGATCCCAACCTTAAAAATTTCGTTGATTCAGATTTTCAGAGCCCATTTATGGCAAAAGGTGCACGAAAGTGTTATCATGGATTTATGCCAAGTCTTTGATTCTGAGCTTGAGAGTTTGCAGATAGAAACAGTACAAAAAGAGTCTATTCATCCAAGAAAATCATACAAGATGAACTCATCATGTGCTGATATATTATTATTCGCCTCATATAAATGGAACATTTCTAAACCTTCACTCTTGAATGATAACAAGGATGTTATGGACGGAACAACGACATCAAGGTGGTTTGTGGATTGTCAGCTAAGATGGGGAGATTTTGATTCTCATGATATTGAAAGATACACAAGGGCAAAGTTCTTGGACTATTCTACTGATAATATGAGCATATATCCATCACCATTTGGTAAATATCCTAAAAAATCTTTCTTTTTTTTGTTTACAGATCGAATTACTAATATTCATTTTCATAATAGGCATTATGATTGGTATCGATTTGGCATATAATCTTCATAGCGCCTATGGCCATTGGATTCCAGGAATGAAACCATTAATCCAGTCCGCGATGGCTAAAATTATGAAAGCCAATCCAGCATTATACGTTTTGAGAGAACGTATCCGAAAAGGTTTACAATTATACAGTTCAGAACCTACTGAACCGTATTTGTCGTCTCAAAATTACTCTGAATTATTTTCGAATCAAATTATTTGGTTCGTAGATGATACGAACGTCTATCGTGTGACAATTCATAAGACGTTTGAAGGAAACTTGACCACTAAACCTATTAATGGTGCTATTTTCATTTTCAATCCAAGAACTGGTCAGTTATTTTTAAAGATCATTCACACATCAGTCTGGGCCGGACAAAAACGGTTGGGTCAATTGGCTAAATGGAAAACCGCTGAAGAAGTGGCTGCCTTGATTCGTTCATTGCCGATTGAGGAACAACCTAAACAGATTATTGTAACTAGGAAAGGGATGTTGGATCCTCTTGAAGTGCATTTACTTGATTTCCCGAATATTGTTATCAAGGGTAGTGAGTTGCAATTACCGTTCCAAGCTTGCCTTAAGCTTGAAAAATTTGGAGATTTGATATTACGCGCTACGGAACCTCAAATGGTAACTATTGGATATTATTATGTCTACTTATATATTACACTCTACTTGTTTATTAATTGCTAACGAAAATTTGTAATTATTAGACACTGTTCAATCTGTTTGATGATTGGCTTAAGACGATTTCTTCATACACCGCGTTTTCTCGTCTTATTCTTATCTTAAGGGCTTTACATGTAAACACGGAAAAAACAAAATTGATCTTACGTCCCGATAAAAATACCATCACAGAACCTCATCATATTTGGCCAACGTTAAGTGACGAAGAATGGATCAAAGTTGAAGTTGCGCTTAAAGATTTAATTTTAGCAGATTACGGAAAAAAGAACAATGTTAATGTAGCTTCTCTCACTCAATCTGAGATTCGTGATATTATACTGGGTATGGAGATCTCTGCACCATCTCTTCAACGCCAGCAAATTGCAGAGATTGAGAAACAAACGAAAGAACAAAGTCAACTTACTGCTGTTACAACCAAGACTCAAAATGTGCACGGTGACGAAATGCTTGTTGTTACTACAAGCAATTATGAGACGCAAACATTCTCGTCAAAGACTGAATGGCGTGTGCGAGCTATTTCATCAACAAATTTACACCTTCGTACTAATCACATATATGTTAACGCTGAAGACATACGAGATACTGGTTACACCTATGTCCTTCCAAAGAACGTACTCAAACGTTTCATTCAAATCTCCGATCTCCGCACTCAAATTTCAGCATATTTGTATGGAACTTCACCACGCGATAATGCTCAAGTCAAAGAAATTAGAGCATTGGTTATTGTTCCGCAATATGGCACTCATCAAACAGTGAGTTTATTGTTCAATCTTTTTTTATTTTTTCTTAACATTCTCATAAATTGATATTTCACATTTTTGCAATAATAGGTCAATTTACCTAATATGCTTCCGGATCATGAACAAATCAGAGATCTTGAACCACTCGGACTTATTGTTACACAACCATTTGAAACCGCACAACTTTCTCCAACTATTCTGTCTTTACATGCTAGAATAGTAGCAGATAATAAGAATTGGGATGGTGATAAGACAATAACAATGACTGTGAGCTTTACACCCGGATCATGCTCACTCACAGCTTATAAATTAACACCTGCCGGATTTGAATGGGCTCGTAATAACAAAGACACATCAATGAATCCACCAGGTATATTATTTGTTCCTTTTTTATCCCTTATTTTTTTTATTACTGGAGATTTTATTAACTTTTCTATTAAATTTGTAGGCTACCTTCCAACATTTGCCGAAAAAGTCCAAATGTTGCTCTCAGATCGGTTTATGGGATTCTTCATGGTTCCGGAAAACGATATTTGGAATTATTCGTTCATGGGTCCTAGTCATAGTACAAGTATGAAATATACCCTTAAGCTTGACGTTCCTAAAGAGTTCTATCATGAATTGCACAGACCACAACATTTCCTCAACTTCTCTTCCATGGAAGAAGACGTTGAAGCTGATCGCGAAGACGCATTTGCCTAAAATGTTTAGAATTACAACCAATAAAAAAAATTTTTCAAATATATTTGATACATTTTAATTTTTTAAAAAAGTTAACAATTTGTAAAATATATATAATAAAATTAATATTACTTTTATAGGCTTGTCAAAAATTTTGTTAATAAAATTGACTTACAGATAGATAATTTTGTAGTATATATGTATAATGTTAAAATTATATTTTTTATTTTATAAACTTTTTTTTATGTAAGTTTAGGGTTTGATTAGAGTTAGGATAGACTTTATGTATAGTAAAATTTTACAAGAAAATTTTTTTCTTAAAGCATTTAAGGTTATTTCATAAACAAAATTTTCAAATCATTGAATTTTTTTTTGCTATATTTGAGTGACAAAAAGGAAAAACCTGTAAATCATTTCACATAATACAGTAATGTAATAAGTGAAATAATTTACAGGTTTTCTTTTTTCATCACTCATTTGTAAATTTTTTATAATTTAAGGTTAGCAATACTTTTAATTAAAAGCCAAATACGTATTGAATCTTATATATTTATAATTTACTAGCAGTAACTTGTGATAAAATTACAAAAATTTGCAAAAATTATATTTTTTTAAAATGTTACTATTAAAAATAAGGTACTTTTCTTATTTAAAACCAAAATTTAAAAAATTTATTTATTTAATTTTGCTTTTATTAATTTTATAAAGACATGTTTCGTAGTGCAAAAAGTTGTAAATATATTTTTTGTTTTACATAAAAGCTTACTTGATTTTTTAATATGATAGCAGATTTATGTTTATAAACCTAAATATAATCTGTTTATTTTTTTAAAAAAGGTAGTTAAGGTTTATATTACATAATATATTTTCTTGTATTACTTTTTTGTATAACTTAAAGTACTATTTTGTATAACCTTATATAACTTTAAATTACATAGATGTATTATAGTTCTAATAACTAATTAAAATACTTTTTTAATTATTATAAATATATAACTAATAAATTTTTTTTTAGTATTAAGGTGATTTTTTAATTATAGTATAATTTTAATACAGTCGACTCTTGTTAGTATCAACCTTGTTAATATCAATCTAAGCCACAAATTAAATTTTTATAAAATTTTATATATCAAAATTTCCTCATATATATCAACTTTAATATAATTTCTCATTAATATCACTATTAACATAATTTAAAACCAATCCAAATAGATTGATATAAATGAGAATAAACTATATAATAAATCTTAATAAACTAAATTTATATATGAAGGATCAAGTTAATAATAGTCAGATCCAACGTACAAGACAGATTATGGTATTCTTTATAGCTGTGCAAGTCAAGCTTCAAACAGTAAATAATTTTGTAGAAGACAATCCAATCTTTCATGTTCCTGCTTTTAACACTTTATCTCTTGCAAAAACAAATATATGTTATAACAAATTTCTATTACTATATAATATACCTATTATATATTTCTATATAATATTCAGAGAATTTTTATCCTATCTTTGAAAACATTTCTTCAAACATAGTTTTAATATATCTATCAATTATAACAAAACTGAGCTACATATATATACTGATCTGTCAGATTCTATTCTGTCTGAACATTATTTTATTCAACTTTTTCAATATAAACTATATAAATATTTACCTTTACTAACAACATTAAACAATATTTCATTCAACACCTATTCATCTTTAGTTGATTAATTGTTTCTTGCTTAGCATCTCTATTTACTAATTTATTATCTATCTTTGAATCTAATCATATAGTTTCCTAATTAGAAACCATCTTTGAATCTACATTTTCCAACCTAATAGCTGAAACATCTATATCTAACTTATATAAATTATTTTATCTGTTAATATATGGGGGTGGGTCAATAGAAATCAAGCAAATTGTTTTTATTAAAATTTTTTTGAAACTTTAAACAATAATAATTCAATAAAAACTTAATCAAATTTAATAAAAAATTTTTTAAATGAATTCTACAAATTTGTAGCATTTATTTTAAAAAGGTTTTATAAAATTTGATAAAGTTTTAGTTAAGTTATCTTTGCTTAAAGTTTCAAAAAAATTTACTTGGAAAAAATTTGCTTAATTTCTATTGACTTAACACCATATATATATAATGTATGAGGATATTATGACAACTTAAAATAACAAACATGAAAGAATTACTGTCTATCTTATAATATTAATATTATTAGTATTATAGAAACTAAAATCTCATAAAATAATACATATACTAAATTTTCTAAATCTCAATACTTTACTTATTATTGGTCATATACTGATAATTGTAAAACTGGAATAACAATTATGATTCAAAAATATTTTAAATCATATATTTATAAAATATTTAACTTTTCTAGATATGCTATTGTAATAGACCTCTTCTTTAAACATGACTTTAAATTCTATATTATATCAGTTTATCTACCTTGTAATGATATTTAACTTAGACTTCTTATTCAAAACAATATTATACAATAAATTCAAGAAGCAAATACAAACAATATATAACTAATTGTTATAGAGAACTTCAATGTTTCTGACAACTTACAATTATCTTTTATTAAACTTAAACTTATCTATTTTCTTTAATATAATAATATGTATAATTTAGCAAAACACATAATTCTTAATCTCTACATGGTATAATAGCAAATATAATAGTTGTATTAACTATATTTGAGTTAATCATTTTATTATCTAATACCTAATCTCCTACTATACAGATGATACTAATCAATATATACTTAGTAATCATAATATACTAATATTATTCTAGGAATTTCCTTATACTATTACTAGAAAATGATAATTACCAACTAAAACTAAGTATAGAATATTTGCTTATAAACAAATGAACCAAAATTTTTGGCAAAACTTCACTGATCAAGTTACATCTAACTTTTAAAATAACAATGTTCTTTCTATAACTAATACTACAGAATCACTTAAAGACACTTTGCACAAAATTCAAACTAGTATTATTTTAACTACTCTTAAATATATCCTAAAAAAAAAATTTATTGTTCATAACTTTCAACACATCTTTTCTTTCAATGAATTCAAATTACACTCAGGATTCAAAAAACTAGACAAGTTAAAGCAACATCTTACAATTATACTTCTGTGCCTATATTTCATAATTAAAATATTAATCAACTCAACTCACTTCATCATCTCAATATACTCATATTGTTTCAAGATCTTAACCTTTTATCTAACTGAATAACTGTAGTCAATACAGAATAAAAAACACTCTATCATGTATATAACCTAGAAAATATTAAAAATATAAGAGAACAAATTAATAATAATATAACTAAAAGATACACTAAACTTCAAAATAGTCCAACATTAATGATTAACAATATACTTAATAGTTACAAAAATCCTGTCAGATTTGTGAACATTAAAAAATTAAACAACATTATCACTAAACCATTATTCATCAAACAACACATCCAACAATACTTTAATAATTGAACAGCTTTTAGAAATATTCAATCACAATTATTCAACACAATATAACAACAAGAATACCAACCTAAACTAAACATTGATCTTACATAGTATCAACCAGCATTTAAGAAATTCTCTTCTATAGAAGTTTTTGAAGCTATCAATCAACTTTCTAATAATAAAGCATATGAATTATTAGGCATCAGCTATAAGATAATTAAACATGCTGAAACAGTATTTCTTAATACAATTATAGTTCTTCTTAATTACTGTCTTATATTAGATCAAATTCCAAATCAATGAAAAAAAGAAAAAATCTTTTCTATATCTAAAAAACCTATCTTTGATAACAACTTAACTAATATTAAACCTATTAGTTTACTTGAACATATTAAAAAACTCTATATCAAACTTCTTACCAACTAACTTAACTACATCTTTACCCATCATAAAATTTTGTTATCTTTTAACTATATAGCCTTATTTGATAACAACACAGCTATTCTTATACATATACTTAATAACATTATTAAAGAAGCTTTCTGTAACTCCAAATAACTTTGGCTTCTATCTTAGAACATAAGCAAAGCTTATGATTTTGTAGACTTTATACTCTTCACTAAATCTTTATTATGCTTATATATGTCATTTAATCTTATCAATATTTTTACTAATTTGTTTACTAATCAACAGAACTGAGTTATTACAAATTTAGGTCTTACTAACTTTTACAATATTAAAAATGGCATTGATCAAGAAAAAACTATAACCCTGTTGTTTTGAAAAATTTATTATAATCTTCTTATAAACAAAATAGTTTCAGATTTTTCAAAATATATTTTGGTCACAAAGTGAAATACTAGTTTGCTCTGACTAAAATTTTAACAACTTCAAACCTCAGTATCTGTATTAGTATATATAGATAATACATTTTGGATAACCAAATCTAAAGAAAAATTACAATCAATCATTGCCATAGCTATCTTCTTTTATTATATAGCTAACATTTAAATTAACACAACTAAATTAATTTTTATATCAAACACATTATCTATAGCTCTTATTTACTTTTTCAGCTTATGCTTACACCAATTCTTGTCAACTAACTATTTAAATTTTTAGGATGTTGGTTCACTCTTAATAATTTATATATAAAATAAAGCCAACTAATTTATGATAAAGCAATCCAACTCACCAATATCACTGGCACAAAAAGAATCATAAACAAACAAGTTATTTATATTACTAATACTGTAATCATTTCTACTATCGAATACAAATTACATAATATTATTCTTAAACACTTTATTTGTAATAGCATTTTATCTAAATACCTTATCATGATCAAATATAAAGCTAAACTTTCTTATACCAGTCACAACAATACTATGCTTAACTTTCATATATATAATGTATATAATATCTGAAATATCCAACTATAACATTATATATTCTGCTTTCAACAAAGAATTAATAACTCTAAGATTTTTGGTATTTCTACCAAAATCCAACTATACCAAATTCAAAACAACTTTTGTC